GTGCCACCAAGCAGGTCATTTCCTAGGCAGTAGGTATGCTGGACATTTTTCCTCCCTAGGTGCAGCACTTTGCATTTCTCCTTGTTGAACTGCATTCTGTTGTTTTCTGCCCATTTGTCCAAACTGTCCAGGTCTGCTTGCAGCTGTTCCCTGCCCTCCGGCATGTCCACTTCTCCCCACAGTTTTGTGTCATCTGCAAACTTGGACAGAGTACACTTCACTCCCTCGTCCAAGTCGCTGATGAAGACATTGAAGAGTATCGGTCCAAGGACCGAGCCCTGCGGGACCCCACTGCCCACACCCTTCCAGGTTGAAACCAACCCATCCACTACGACTGTCTGGGTGCAACCCTCTAGCCAATTCGCCACCCACCGGACTGTGTAGTCGTCCAAGTCACAGCCTCTTAACTTGTTCACCAGTATGGGGTGGGATACTGTATTGAAGGCCTTCCTGAAGTCTAAGTATACGACATCCACCCCTACTCCTGCGTCCAGGCATTTTGTAACCTGGTCATAAAAAGAGACTAGATTAGTCAGGCACGATCTGCCTGCTATGAACCCGTGCTGGTTTCCCCTCAGCATAATTTGTCCTGCCGGGCTCTCACAAATGTGAGCCTTGATAATTTTTTCAAAGACTTTGCCAAGGATGGAGGTGAGACTGACCTGAGCTAAATCTCCAGGTTCCTGAGCTAAATCTCCAGGTTGTGTAACTTCAAGCCTGTTATGTGGTTTCAAGGGCTCCTTGCAATAACTGGGCCGCATTCTTCTTCCCTCATTGATAAAGCAACCCACAGCCCCAAGGCCCCCTCTACACATGCAGGTTAAAGGCGTGATGGGATCTAATGGGATCATGTACATGACAGGAGGTGTGATTTGGGGATCATCCATTGGATCCCATTGTACCTTATTGCTGGTGCAGGGGGAGCCCGATCCCAGGCTCTCCCTGCACTGGCAAGAAATAAGCTCCCATGGGTGAGTCCTCCACACATCCCAGTTGAGCTAGTTGGACCTTTTGATGGTATGATAAGTCTTTGCACTGTAGCTGGCTTTGAGGCAATCGCACCATTAACCAGTTAGTTGCGGCATACCTGCAAGTGGTAGAGGGGACCTGACTGAGACAGAAGCTGTCCTGAGGGGGCAGAAGGGGTGTGGGGGAAGACCCCTGAGAAGAGTAGGGTTGCCAACCCTCCCAGATCGACTGGGAGTCTACCAGAACCAGCATCGATCTCCTGGTGACTACTGAAAGTAATCTGGGAGACTTTAATAGGATATTTTAAGAAAATGAAATGAACGGCAACATGTCATGCTGGAAAAAAAAAAATCTCTTGGAATAGCTTGAGTCATCATTGGCAACCCTAGAGGAGAGGGGCAGGTAGGACGTGATGCAGTGCTGACTCCTGGCTGAGCTCTCCCCCATCCTGTCCCCTCTTCCTCTGCCCTCAGGAGTGGGACCTTTTTAGGGCGTATGGGCAGCACTTTCTAGAAGCAGGACATGGGCTGCTGCGGTTCCCCTGTGGCAGGCTGAGGCATTAGGTCTGTGTTGCCTGAGGGTTGAGATGGGGGGGTTTGCACAGGCTGCTGTCGCCTCAGGGATGAGGGTCCTTCCAGCCCCGCTTGTGTGCCACGAGGGAGGCGGCTGTGCCCGGGGAGCAGCCCAGGGGCTGTGCCCGAGGTGGGGAGAGCCCCCCCTCGCCCGGCTGCGCCCCCGGCCCCGCTCGCCCCTCCCTGCGGCGGGTGGTCCTCCCCCCTCGCGGAGCCCGCGCCTGTGCGGCGGCGG